GCATGAAAGAGCATTCCTCAGTTCTCACTGTCGAGAGGGCTCCTGAAGGAACATCCTTTCTGCTTCCTGTTACCCTGATGAACAGAGAAAAACACCTTCAAACACGCTACAGTGACACTGCTTTGTTGGACACTTACCCAACCATCTCAGCTTTCCCCTCCCTCTCCAATTTTGTCACGAAACACAAACATCAGGTAGACCAAAATGCATCTATGTCCCCTTTTTGGTGTTGGCCAGTGACAGATGATTAAGAAGGGCGATTTCAGGATGCTTCAGGCCCTGGTATGTCATCTCAGCTTCTTGTGATCAGCTGTTTATGATCCAAAATTAGGGCAATTGAGGTTGAGGCACCTGAGAATCCTTCCCAGCTACGTTTGGTCACATCTTTTTTTCTCTTTCACCACTTTCTTTTGGTGTTGGTCAGTTTTCCTATTGGGAATTGTACTTTTATTTTGCTGCTCACAAGATCAGCCATGGCACTTGTAATAACGACCTATTCTGATTTTACAGTCATCAACACTCAGCAGGGTCGATAACAATCTTTCTACTGACCTTGATAGAAGCTGGAGCTGATCCCAAATATCCTGGGGTTTGTTAGGCTGGGTTTTTATCTTCTGCAATGCTACAACAGTGGAATTTATCAAAACTTAGCAGAAAGAATTGCTGTTATTAGTGTGCAAGGCTAAATATAATTTCATCTCTTTATCATGCTGGTGTGGTCTTAATTTACAGGACAGAGGAATAAAAGGGTGATACATAAAGCTGAAATTCCAGTTGGGAAGATGTACCTCAATTCCTGAACAGCCCTACAATGACTGTAGCATTTCTTTGCAATAAAACAACCTATTGCCAAGAAAGACAGAGATGGTTATTTTATATTCCCTATTTATAAGACGCTGCTTTTTATGTCCAATATAAAACAGAGTGGGGCTATTGTTGTTGATATAATAGGATGATTGGCTTCTTTTCCACCATGGTGAAAGCTTTCCTACAAAAAGACAGTAGAGATGACAATTTCAGAACCCTTGTGAAGAGGAAAAGAAGGATGAATGCTGAAGGAGGCATTACTTACTCTTCTAATTGATGAGTTTTGCTCTAACAATTGCCAGCCTGATATCCAAGCAATTCTCATCCAGCCACAACTTTCTGCCCTGCTATCAGTGACACCCAGCAAAATGTTCTCATTTCAGCTTCCCCTGAGGCATGTGGGGCTTGGATGACACTGGAAACACATCAGACAGCAGGAACAGGATCAAGAGTCTCCGAGTTCAGAGTCTGAATCCCCCAGACATCCACTCCAGAGCACCAAGCAAGTGACCAAGCCAAGCTTGTGTGGCTTGTTTTGGCTAATAGATTTGTGAAGGACTGGCCCATTAGCTGAGGTTTAGAGGACCAGAACAGAATGTGAGATGAGCAGACAGAACACTGATCCAAGCAGCTCTACCACACACTCTGGAGACCTTTAGCAAGTTGCTTGGACTCCTGGGGCACCCATCTCCATGTGTTAAATGGGTTAGTCTGAACCTACTCTGCAAGGATCTACTGAAGCAGCAAGTCTGTGAGATTGTCCATGGAAGTATTTGGGAGAATTCGAGATATCTGCAGGAAAAAACCCTCAGAAGTTTAAAAAACCCAAGTCCTCTTTTACCTCCGTGTGGATTTAACACCTCTTTGTTTTGTTTCAGTCCTTTAAATTGGCAGACAAAGACTTGAGCAGGGCTGAGGATCTTGCCTGAGGAAACTGTAAGTTTTTCAGGAAGCAGGAAAAGGAAAGCTGATATTTTTCTCTAGATGAGCTCTTTGCCACCTCAGAATAAAAGAAGCAGAAATTTTTTCAATAGGCTGATGCTGGAGAAAAAAAAAAAAAGACAATCTATTTTCTTCCTAGAGGAGAAACCTCTTGTTACCTGGTGGCAATAGGAGAGACAAGAGCCATCATAAAACAACAGCATGCATAAGATATTTCATAATCCCACAAAAACATTAGAGACTCCTAACATTCCCACTGGCATCCTGCTTTGGAGCTCAGAGAGCTGCTCAGACATTAGCTAATTATATTTAGCACAACCATCTCATCTTACACGAGGGCAGACACATTAGGTCACATGTTTGGCTGGTATAAAGTTTGGATTTTGGCTGCATGACTCGTGCACTCCAGCTGAGGAGAAGCCCCTTTGTTCTTGTTTCTGGGATGTAAGGAAGTTTCCCAACCTTCTCTCTGCAGTTCCTCAGAGAGAGGAAGGACCAAGATGAAGGTTCCACCCCGTGTAACCAACAGTTCCACCAGGAGCTCCCAAGTTTTCTTTTTGTTTGCTACAGGGTAAAACAACAGCACTGACACTGAAACTTGACTCAGATCATGGTGATATGATCCCAAAAGAACTGGAGAATTGGGGTCTCTCAAAACTCACAGAGGGCTGCAAGGAAGCTAAAAGAAATGGAAGAATCCAGTGAACAGCGCAATTGAGGTCTCAGAGGTCAAAGCAAGACTACATCCTGCTCCTCTGGCAGAAGCACTGCCACTTATTTCTCTGGGCACTAGGTCAGCCCTCTGGAGCTTTTGGAGGGAAGTTTTTCCACTGGATTTTCAGATGGAGGAAAAGAAAAGCATGGAGAGAGGAAAATATGGTTTCACTACTTGTACAAATGCTAACTTATCACTGCCACATATAGAATGAGAAAAGCAGGAGCACAACAGAACTTTAGGAGCTTGCTTTTTTCTGATGTCTGTAAGTCAAAGAAATCAGGCTCTTTTCACTGAAAAACAATTACTTCTTGATAATGAGGGGAGACAAAACAAGGCCATTAATCAAGAACACATTACACATCAGTGGTCACTCTACTCACCTGGACCCCAAGCTGGCATTGTTTCCCCTCATTGTGGCTGAAGGATCCACAGCATTTCTCCCCAGTGGGTCCTCTGGAAGCTCTGACAGGCAGGGAAGCAGCTCAGTAAGATCATCAGCTTAGAAGGTCACTGGGTCACCAATTCCATCACCCAGCAATTACGACCCACCAGGCAATACATGGCTGAGGCCAGACAGGTTCACAACTATCACATATTTATCACTGTCTGTGAGTTCAGGGGTGTCATTCTACTGTCTTACCCTGCACGGTAATGGCAAACATATGCTGAGGTAATCAGGGGAAAATGTATCTTCAGCTGGAAACCTGGGAAATGAGTCTAAGGATCTTGGCTTTTCAATACTGATTTTAATAAGGCAAGAATCGATCCATAATCATGCAGTAACTACAGGATAAACTCAATGCAAAAGTAAAACGTCTGAATTACAATGGAAAGAATTAATGCAAAAAAAAAAAGAGAAAGATTTGTCTTAGAGCTTAAAACTGCACTGTGCTTGGGCTATTTTTTATAGAGGAGAGCTCAAATGAAGAGCAGACAGAGACAATGCTACTTAGACATGGAAACCAGTATATCTGTGCTGAGCAGATGCTTGTTATACTGTAGGCATTGTTAGAGGAATGTCTGAAGAAGTTACCTGACCTGTGATTAAGAGGTGAAGGATTGTGCACAGAGGGAAGCTACTCCTCTGAAACCACTCACTGAAATCCTCTGCTGGCATCTGCACAATACTTTCATGTACAAACTGGAACAGGAAAAGGTTCTTTCCTGAGCTTTTGTTTTATGTGTAAGAGAGAGGTAATGTGGGAAAATTTGATCATTGTGACAACAGAATATAATGGCTTTTGCAAATAGTGCTTTGTGTCACCAAAACATTCAGAGAGTTGGAGATGCTCTAAAATGAACTAAAAGGAAACCCCTACAATTTTCGTTGCAGTTTATATCCTGAATCCTTCCAAGTCAAGTCTTGGTGTTTTAAACTTGCATCTATCTTCTATCTACCATCAAGGCAACTACACTAAAGCAAGTTGGAGTTAAATAAGAACTTCACCTGGAACCTCAGCCAGATGATATTCAGTGATGCTGCTCCTTCTCCTAAAATATAACAGTTTCTTTCATCTATTCCTGTCAGAAGGAGCACCAAGGTCCTCCTTCCTCTGTGGCTATTTTTGAAAGGGGTATAAAGAAACAGATAGGACATCCAGCTGTGCTCACGTTTTTCCTCTATTACCGTTGCACAAATATGAAGGATCAAAATGCAAAGGAAAAAGCAAAGAAATAGATCTAAACCCAGCAAGCAACTGAGACTTTTCTATTGAACATTAAAGCAAGGCTGCCTCTCTGGTTAGTGAGTATGCAAATTAGGGCACCAGACAAAATGGTTATTTTTATACAACTTCAAGACAACACAGATACTCTGATCTCGACATGTTGGGTGCTAAACCTTTGCATCCAAAAGGCAAGATAACACCTGATATGTGTAAAAAGCAGAATAACCTGCTGCCTCTGAGAGATTTCTGTCGGTCTTGCAGATCAGGGGAATAACTGTGATGAGAACACAAAACACAAGGTGGCATCGTTGCCATTTTGGTAAGTTAGTTACCTGGTTACACTACACAGAGGTGTGTAAGTCTAATGTCACAGAGTCACAGAATATTCTGAGTTCCTTCTGTCCTTCCAGAACTACAGGAGTTGAGCCCAGCTTAAGATCTTGAGAGGCAGCTGTTGGTTTTTTTTAGTATTGCTGAAGCAAAGCAAACATTTCTACAGAGTTCCTGGATCAGGGACATAATTCATAACCTAAATGGCTCATGGATATAACTACTGGGAAGGACAGGCCCTTTCAGAGCACAAGTTAATGCTTCACTTCAAGTGTCCTAACGATTTATGACAGGTGCTACTTTCACTGAGGCAGTAAATAAATCAACAATGACATAATAATAAAATGATACTGATTAATAAACCAGTGGTTGTCATAACATCTTTCTCTTGAAGAGTTCAAAGTGCCTTGTAAAAAAGTGAATAGCAGCATCTTCATTTAGTGAGATCCTGAATGATTTCATCTGGCAACTTTCCAGTGCTGGAATTTCACCCCCAGGTGCCTGTTCTCCCCACCCTCACCACACATGATGTACACTCACCACTTGTGTACCTCAGCCAGAACCTTAACAAACGTGTCTGGTGAATTTTCAAGTGGGGATTCTCGCCACATTTTCCCGGTTTCTTTAAGATTTTTCCGTACAAAACAGTCACGCCTCACAGACCGAGTGAGTCTGGCAAGCAGTACAGGAAACCTTTAGCAGAAAGAAGAACAGCAATAAAAGAAAAGCCTTTGGGAACAAACGAATATCTGATTAATAACTCTGGGTTTGTCTGGCATTTCTGCCACTTCACCATTTCCATAACTTCCACAGCAAAAATGGCTCTTTGGGGAGTGCACTGCTCAACGTCATTCCGAGTGAACCATAGAATGGTTTGGGTTGGAAGAGACCTTTAATACAAATAATGTGAAAGAGCTTTACTTTATTGGGCTTGAGCACCAATTCCCTTTGCTGGGCATGGAAATAAGGGCTTCTTCATTATTCATCAAATTCTGGATGACAAACTTGGGTATGAAAGGAAATAATAAAATCCCAACAAATACTTCCATTTTGCTACACATTTGTCCTCTTCAGATTTTCTCTATTTATTTTGTTTAGCCTCTGTGGATTTTCCAATGCAATCAGTGCCTGATCTGACACACTTTCTGATTCTTTTTAATATCCCTTTTCCCTGTGCTATCATCATTCTCCTCTCTCTATGTGCTGACATAAATCTCATTGATGTAAGTGCACTGTAACACACAGCCTTTACCATTTCACTCTGAATAGAGAGATACAGGAGGAGAATTACACATTACAATAAAAATAAAACTCTTGTGAAAAGAGGGCCATTTTTTAAATGCTCTAAATTCTGCAGTGCTGCTTTGACAGCCCTGAAGACTGATGTTCCAAACCCTTCTAGACTGTGCATGACTGGGGTGTGCTGTGGCTTTCCTTGCAAAGGCTGAGGATTTGGCAGCACATCCTCAGGAAGTGCTGCCTCCCTCCAGTTTAGGGTACATGTCACTGGGACAGCAGGAAAAGGGTGAGAAGTTTCCTCCTGACATCAGTAAAAAAGGAAACACATGGTTCTCATCTTCAGCAGGGCCAGTTCCACACTCAGTAGTGCCCTGTTGGTGTGGCTGTACAGCCAAATCCTCATTATCACTGGTTAGATTATCCAGATAACTGTTATCATGTCACACACAAGCCTTTTATAACCCACCATGCACTGAGATATTTTGAGGAGGGAAGCTCCGTTCAGTGCACTCTTCCATCACATATTTGTTTGTTTGGCTTTTCTCACTTCATGAGGGAGCCAAGACAACTCGACTGACAGCACATACTAGCAAAGTGTTCCTCTGTGATTCAGCTCTCTTGGCATGCAGAGTTTGCAAGAGCACGGAAAAACCAGCCTGATTGTAAACGAAACAAGTGCTGTGGGGAAAGCAACGGCTCTGCCATGACTTTGTGTCTCCACGAGGGGGGTGACCAGCCTTGTTAAAACAGAAACACAGATTTCACAGCTCCACACGCGTCACAGCCAGCGCTTGGCAGAACGGGGCTGGCACGGGGAGCTCTACATGTTTAACTGTGTTGGCAAAGTCAAAGCACTGAGGGGTTCTGTCTCTCCTTCCCAGTTTAGTCCCCCTTCATCATCTCATGCCCAGCTGTCTTACTCTTTCTGTGTCTCTCCCCAAATACTTCAATCGTTTCAGAGGCTGCTATTTCTGACAACGTTTCTCTTCCTGCTTCCTACAACAAACAAATAAACAAACAAACAAACAACCCCCCCAACAACTTAAAGTTATATTTTATACATCATCATACTTCTGCATTGCTAATTAGGAAGACAATAAGGCAGGCAGAAAACAATAAATGTGAAGAACAAGTTGTATGTTCAGTCTGTGGACACTAATACCAGTTTTTGTTTTTGCAGAGTTCTCTGTACATTCATATTCCTACAAACATATTAAAAGTGGTAACATTTTATATCAACTCTAAGCTGTAGGTAAGAAAAACTTATCTACAAAACTGAAGTTTGATTTAAACTAAAATTCAACCTCCCCTTTCTATTAGGTATCTACTGCTTAAAACCAAACAGAATACTGTACAGTGATTTAGGGTAAAATATTAATTAAAATACAACAAAAGAGAGATGGAATAGGGTGACCCGAGGTAGAATTTTGACCCAGAGATTGGGTTCATGTGTGCATTGCTACAAAAAGTGCTGCTGGGTTATAACAAAAACAACATCTGCTTTTCTTTCCAATAAATTACTTATATACCATATCCTGCCAATCTGAGGCTCCATCTCCAAATGCAGATCAAATAGGATATATGCTTGTGTGGCTATATGGAGAATACTAAAAGAGCTGCAACAGTAACTTTCCATCCAACTTGTCCTTCCAGGCTGCAGGATGCTGGAATGATTAGCTCCTTGTGCAGGAACAGCAGCTGCTCAGGGAAGAAAACAAGGACCTGGCTGTAGACAAGGGAGGTTCTGGGGACCAAAAAATTAAGTACAAAATGAAGAGAAGAGTAGAAAGAAGAAGTGGGAGGGGGAAAGAAAACTGTGCCTCTAACACCCTTCAGAACAGCAAAGTAGAGAAGGATCTCAGGGCTGGTGCTTACTGAGACAAGAGAATTTGCACAAAGATCACAGATGAATGTTTCTGGGTGAGAGGAAAAGGATGACAGGCTTCAGCTGGTCAACAAGGCAGAGATGTCAGTGATCTGGGAAAAGGCCTTGAGAGAGGACATTGCAACTGTTACACTGAGAAGAGTCAAAGCAATGTTGAAGAGCAGAACAGTGATCTCTGAACTGAAAATGCAAAACAGCCACACAGAGTGCGTGTGGACTGAATGTATTACCAATTTTTGGGGTGAAAAGGACTACAATGTCCAAAGTGAATATATTCAATGTATATTTCCAGAAGAATCGCTCAGAAATATTCCAAAACACTGCTGCAAATATTTAACTTGTAATATATTTTTCTATGCAGTCACAAAACTGTCCATCATCATCCCTATATTCTTATTTGAATGCCAAGACAAATAAATGCATCTTTAAAGGGCCTGAAGACCAGTCCTAAATCTGGTCAGAAGTAAGGTGGGTTGTGTTTTAAGAGTACACAGAGAAGAGTCTCTCCTTACCTCTCAAGGCTCACTAAAGTGTCACATAAAGAACAAGCTGCTTCTTCATGTTCTGCTGGAACTTTTGCCTCGTATCAGCACACGAGTCAGATTTGCTTTTAATGAAAGAGCTGATATGGCAGCTGCAAATAAAGCAAGACAGGAAACTGGAATGAACATCCTGTGGTTACCATTTTGTGGCAAACACCTGTGTTGCTCAGAACATACATCAATGTGAGCCTGTGAAAATCTTGAGATCCCCTTACTCTCAGCAAAAATCCAAATTAATTACAAAGCACAGCTGGGTTTTTTAGCTCAATTTTTAAAATAATTTGATGGATTAAAAAATGAGAAATTATTATGATTTTGGGGGTTTATCATCTTTCATTCCATCACATTCCAGGAGAGTGCCTTCAAACTGCACTGGCATGTACTGAATGTGCTCCAAGGTTTCCGTGGCCTGCTCTGCTCTCGTGTAATAAAAATGCTCCTTGACATTTGCATGCCAAGTGCTTTGCATAGAGAGGGCTGAGTTTATACAGCATATAATGTGCTTAAAAACCAGTTTTGTACCCTTACCCTGCCTTCTGGGCCTCTGCTTCCTTGATACTATACTCTCTTGGTCTTTAATGAAAGGCATGTTTACTCTGTAGTTCTCCCAAGCCACTGGCAACAAACTGTAAGACATAACAAGGTTTAAATTAATGTACAGTGTGCCTTCTCCAGAATGTGAAGCATTCCACAGGTGCTGAAAAAACATTCTTAATATTACAGACTTGATGGGGCTACCCAGGTACAAAATTCATTTCTCTTGACCTCAGCTCAAAGGAAAAAAAAAAAAAAAAGCTTCAGCAAAGTCTGACTGTAGGAATGGTTTGTCCTGTTGATCTTAGAGCTGTGGAAACCACCACAGAGCTGAGCAATGAGGGAACACATCTAATGTTGGCTGGAAATGGTAGAGAGAGACTACAGAAAAATGCACTGGTAGAAAGAGAACCAATTCTAGTGGAATAAGACAGAACACTGCTTTATCCACAGAGCTGCTGGAGCATAGGATCTCTTCTGTTTGCAAAGGCAAGATTTATGGGGGTGTTTCCCAGAAAGCACATGCTGCTTGCACAGCAGTAAAATGGTTGTTCTGCCACCCATGCAAAAAAATTGCATGTTTTCTGAATTTACTGAATGCTGATTTCAGTTGTTTGGGGAGAAGAAGAATAAAAAGAAAGAAGGGGAAAAAAAAAGCATAAGCTCTTTTCTGATGAGTTGCTTCCCCTTGTCATCCAGAAACCCATCAGGTAATGCACCCGCAGTCCAACCTTCTTAACAGTCTCTTTTTGTTTATGGACACCTTTTAACCTTGTACCTGTGATGACTTTCTGTAGGTCTGTTGAAAAAAAATATGTAAAAACTTGCCAACTCACTTGTGCATTCCTTTCTCCTTTGAAGATATTGCTCCATATATGCTGGCCTGCATGAGACATCCTAAAGAAACCTGCTATTTAGTATTCCTGAAAATTAAAGTTTCTTCCAAGGAAAGTGTCTTTTTAAAGATGTTTCGAGATAGGTACCCAAGTACAAATGCACCAAATGAATCACTTCTGAAAAGATAAGTTTTGTTAATTCAGCTGTGAAAAAAACCCAAACATCAAGTAGAAGATGTAAATATTTTTTACATAAGATGCTTATAAAATAATGAGTTAAAAAATCAGGTAGACTTGAACACACTATGCAGGAAGTCTGGTTTCAGTGTCCATGCTGTGCTGTTTGCATACTAGTGGCATAACTGTCAATTTTTCTGAATTTTTAAGTCTACTGCATCACTTTGCCATTCTTCTTTTAAATGTCGTAAGGAATTTAATACATTTAACATCAACAGGTATCTAATTACCTCTCTGTGCCTCCTTATCAGCATCCACTACCACTTCAGACGTGTCCTCAAGTAGCCCTTCATTGGCTGCAGTTTCCAGACTATCCACCTTTGAGCAAATCTCTCACTAATAACACTCTTTACTCTTTGCCTGCCACTGGAAAGTAAATGCTTTTATTCTCCTCTCCCTTGAAAGTCAATTTAACTCACTGTTTTCCTTCAAATTAACATCTTGGTTGTCCTTCCCACTGCTGTTTCGTTCCTGCTGTGCTGCCAAACCCCTGGAGAGGCATTGACACCCATCTCCTCTGCTCTGTTCCCTCCAGTCACTCATGCAGTAAAACACCTGTCACACTCATTATTAACAGCCCCAGTGTTCTCTGTCAAAGCCTAAGCCATCCTCCAAGGTGCTCATCTGTCCTACGTGGTAATAAGTGACATTTTACTGAGCACTCAACACCCTCCAAGTTGCAATCCCCAAATGCAAAAAGGCCTTTTTTCTACATTTTGGTGAACACAAAATCACTGCTGAATGATGACTGTGTTCAAGAGCAGCACAAGTTACTTGTTAAAAGTACAGATTTGAAATATTATACTGTGAGTTTGTAAATGAATTTATAAGACTTGGAAGTAAGATGTTGCTGGGTACCAGCTAATGGGCTGCTATTTAAAAAAAAAAAAAAAACATGCTTATAATGAAGATCTTCTATTACCTGTGGCCTGGAGAGTATCAAGAGTACCAAGGTCCCAGTCAGAAATTCCGAAGTTCTAGCACTGAGCCCTCTATTTTGTAGCATTAAAACCTGTTCCAGTTCTCCATCTGGAGAAACAGTGAAAACAAATAATCAAGCTTGTCTGTATTAGTGATATTTTTGAAATATAACCTCCATAGCTGTGAGCTAGTCAGACATTAATTAGAAAAGAGAAAAAAAAAGCAAAGAAGAATTTAGTAATTTCCCCTGACCTTGATTTCTATGCCTTAGTTAATCATCTGTGCAGTAGTAATGCAATCTAAAAATGGTAAATCAATTGAAGAGGCATTGATCATATCAAAGAAAAGCCCAAAATTCAGAAATAAGTTTTATAATGAAGATCCTTTGCGCAAATATTTCTGCCTACTCTTTTAAAAATACATTTTTGACTGAGAAGTGAAAGCTAAACTGCTGGCTGTAAGACTTTGGGGATAAAATCCAGTTATTTTTTAATCTCTCATACAAGTCTCCTTCTCGTTGTGAAGAAAATGTATGTCACCTGAGCTGATCTGCATACACACATTATTCATTACACAGTAACCATGAAAAATTAGACTTACATTTTGTACTCTAATCTGCTTTGTGAAACATTTGACTGATTAGGTGGGGGCCACATGATAAATGAGACTATCTTAGCAGTGACCTGGTGTTGTACCACAGCTGCAGTTTCCACATTTACCTCTGTCAACATGATGAAACATTTAAACCTTTGCACTAATACAGGTCCCCACTCAGCCAGCAGCACTGAAAATTCTGATCTGTATAAGCAAACAGTCTGCAGCAAAACTACCACTGGACAAAAGGCTTTATATTGAATTATGAATTCTTTTCTTAAAAGAAATCATTCCGTAAGAGCCACGTTCAGTTGTGTCTACTGATTAGCTGCCTCTACAGACTCCCTTTCCCACTTTTGAAATATAAACATGGCTACGTGTGGGTTAGGGCTCTGTGTCCTCTCAAAATTATGTCTGTATGAGTTCTATGAAGCTTTGTGAATTTGGGGGACAGGGCTACAAGGCAGCTGTACTGGTAATCCATTTCTGATTAGTCTTTTGTGAAGCAGCCCATGATGAGAATCCTGGATTAAACATGATTTGAGCAGCTTCAGAATTCATTACAGAACCCAACCTTCGGTACAGAGATGCCCTGCACAAAGTAACTCCCCATATTTTTCAGAGCTAGGAACAGAACCCTTGAGAGGTCCAGACCTGTAACTCGGGCCAGTCCCCTGGAATCCCAGCAATCATGTGATAGATGTTCTAAAGGATGCATTGAACACCCTGCCCATATATCACACAAGGTATCTTTATTTTTCTGGCAGCAAACACAGGCTCCCAGCTGTCACAGCTCTCAGGATTGTTTTTCAAATCTCATCTCGCACACAAACCAATTGTTCACCTACATCTGTAAACAAATTGCTTGAAATTATAGCTTTGAATCCTCCACTGGTCCCATTCATCAGTGCTCAGCAGCAGCTGTGGAGGTAGTATATGATATTATCTCAAGTTTCCTGATATCCCCCCTCAGCCTCTGGCTGTCTGAACCTAAAGGTCCTTCAGGCCCTTTGCATTTAGGAGCAGTTAACTGCTTTTTCTTCTATTCTGTTAAATTGCTTTTGCACTTGAATATACTTCCAGCAATATATCCTAGCAATGAATTCTTAAGTTTAATTATGCATTGCTTGAAAACACTTCCCATTGCTTTAAATTTTCTGCCAGGTAATTTAATTTGGTGTGCCATAAATCTGGTGTCAAGGGAACCTGTGAATATCCACTCTCTAATCACCTTTTTTTTTCCATGCACTTTGAGATGTCACAGAGATCTGTCATAACTTTATCTCCAGTCATTTCTTTCCTGCCCTGAAGAGCCCCAGCCTATTTGACTGTTCTTGTGTGGAACAAGATTCCATATCTCCACCATCCCTCAGCACTTCTGTTCAGTCAAACTCTATCATTTGTGGCAACAGCCTGGGTGAACAGGAAGGACAGAGAGTCAAGAAGCACTTATAAAATATTTGTATTTTTGCAGAACATGTTTTCTGCTTTGGCTTCCACTTCATTCTTAGGGTTTTTCTTGCCTTTTTGATAGCTACTAAACATTCACAGAACTCTCCCAAATGACTCCAAGAGCTCCTTCTTGAGTGGGAATTTAGAGTGTAACAGGGCATGGTATCAGCCTAATAATGATAACATAAATGTCAATTAAAATGTCAATAATTAGCAGTACTAAATGCTAACGTGCTTTTCTGGTCCAGTTTTACTTGGGAAGAAGTGAAAAGACTGAAGATTACGCAGCTTTGTACTGAACCACTCTAGAGAGCCAACAGGTAAACTATTCTGTCAGGTCTTTTAAGTGCAGGTAAGCACTGAGGGATGAGTAGGAGGAACACAGAGTAAGTTGAAGAGAATCCCTAAGTTGAAGAGTTGTTTAACTGCCAGCCTGTATCTGAGAGACTTGCTGACCAACTCTCTATTGGTTGGTCATTATAGGTAAAGGGATGAAAAAGCCACTTATCACACTCACTGTACTGGTTCTCTCCTCCAATTTATCAGACTAATTCTATATACTGCTATTCTGCCACACCTGTTAGACACACAGTTTGCCTTGACTGAGAATACAGAGGAAAACAGAACACCTTTGAAGAGCTTTGCCCTGCAACTCAGAGCATAAACTGTTCAACTGCTTTGTCAAACACTCATGAATAATTTAAATCCATGTTGTGCCAACATGATTATATCCACTAAAAAATGTTGGAAACTTAAATTACTATTTACTTTTAACAGTATAAAAGTTCAGAAGCAACACATTCTTTTACAAATACCCATCACTGTCATACATAATGGATAGAATACAATCAGCTACTAAATATCACTTAATAGCTGGTTTGGTTCTGTAATGATAATATACATGGAATTCCTGTTGAGTTCACTGGGATAACCCTCCAAGGAAAGGCTATAGGAATATACATGTATCTATTACTGTAGAACTATCAATAAAAAGAGAACAAGGAAAGAAAACACAATTAAATTGGCTGGGATAGCTCAGTATTTTCTCCTAGTTCTGCAACCTGCAGTGACAGAGGATGATGCTGTGCTGCTGATTCTACTGCACAACTCCCTGCTGACTGCATGGGGACAAAGAAAATCCAGAATTTGTTTATGTTGCATGGCACAGAATTAATAACATTTCACTGAAAGAGTCACTGCTTGAAAGAAGAGAAACAACAACATCCAAAGGACAAGAGATCGCCGTTCCTTCACCTTGGATTCCAGTGGGTTAATATGGAATGCATCAAACTGTTGGATTTGAGAGTCAAAGCTTCCAAAAGCCAGTGTATGGCACACAGCTGTTAGAAAAGATGTTCACTGGGAAGAGGAGAAACCAATGTGTTACAGTACAGAGTGAGGGAAAGAGTCCAACTGGCACCGTGTGGGCTGAAACAGATGCATTTAACCAGTTCTGTAGCAGATGAGTTTTTAATTGTCCCAGTGAATTCCAGACACCTCTCAAAGTTTTGGTTTTTCTAATGTTGACACATAACTCTGTATCCTGCAAGTGTATTTTTGGATGTGAAATTTCCAGTGGGCTTATCTTGATGATGTGCCCAGTGCTTTCTCACCTGTGAGAATTCTGGTATTTATCCAGTTACGGTGTGGATTCTCAGGGGTTTGGATTCTACAGTAGCTTCTAAGTTTTGCCTTTAACTAAAAACAGTGTGTGAGTTTAAAATGTTGGTTCAGTATTTTTCTGCACTGAGATTACCTTTGGCATTTTAGCTTATTCTACATGCAAATGTAAATATAAATGTATAAACTTTTGGTGAGCAACTGGAATAATGAGCTTAGAACAGGACAGACAGTGTGCACTAGTGACTAGCACAGAATACAGAGAAATGAATATGGTACAAGTGCTGCCTTCTCCCTCTCTCTTTCACAGGCCTACTTTTAACCTGGCAAATTAAATGTGAATTTTGACAGCCTTTTCTTTAAATGAGCCTGATCTTGAAAGCTACACCACCTGAGAAGATTTTATGCAACTTGGAACCTGCCAAGTAAATGTCAGCAAGGTGAATGACGTGTGCTTCTGTACACACACACACAGGGTGTTCAGTAAGTCATTAGGATTCAATCACTTACTGTTAGAATTTAACAGCTGCTATTAATAAAGACAGACTACATCATCATGAACTCCTGAAGCTCTCAGAACACAAGTTCAGCAGCTGAACAGCAGCTCTGAGTGTATGTTAGGGGTCTGTGTCACTGTGAGCTTCACTCATGTCCTATCACAGAGGACATGAATCTTCCTTCAAATTTACCTTTTTTTGTTCCAGGGGCACTGGAATCCAGACACTGGTATAAATAGGGCTAAAGGACTGTCAGGTCATCTTTTTTGTCTTCTTCCCTGAATTCCTCATGTGGGCCTCTTCTGTCAGAATGTGACTGTGGGAAAGAACAAAGACTGAAGTTAAAAAAGTAGTATGCAAAATGAAGGCAGAACCCATAAAGCTGTTTATTGTGTTCAGATCATCACACTTCTTAAATTTAAAAAAAAATACTTAGATGTATCTCTAAATTGTTAATGACTGCATTTATTAGCACCTATTAATATTAAATTTGGTTATTTATATGTTTACCAGGATATGCAATTTTTATTTATCTTTAATATGCGTATAGTACTTAATAAATGATAAATACAGTATTATTTGTATTCACACATTTATACTACTACTTATTATTAGCAATTAAGCATTTATGTGAAATCAAACTTGGAAGCAGAGGAAATAATGTTGACTGAGAAAAGGTGCTGACACATGGTTTGCATTCCATTTTACTTGTTTTTTGTTGGAATTATGCCAATGGAGGCACTAAGATTATGTACACAAGGCCAAAGTTTCAAGACGTGCCTCAAATTCTGTTCAGTTTTTCCTGGGTTAACAGACTGTGTGCAAAGAAAATAATAGAGTAAGCTGAAAAGATTCACCCTGATGAGAAGAGTTTTCAGAGCTGGGCAACCAGAAAACAGCTTTTTACAGGCTGTGGGTTTTGTTTCTTCACTGCCCCAAGCCTGTTCGGCCTGTTTTCTCCTTCCATAACACTATCTCTCAGGAATACTTTATTCCTTTTCCACCTTTTTTAGCTGTTCAGTAGTGACCGTACAGAATGGACATTTAATGTCACCCTAGCAGATGTGACACTTTCCTGTTCAGAATTATTCAGCCTGTATTATGTGTTTGCTTTTTGGTCTGGGCTTTGTATTCGGAGGAAAGACTTTATTTCTTACTTTTTATTAATGCTTATAACATTATTGTCCCACTTTATGACTAGAGTGTGATGGCATCTCAGATTACTCTGGAGACGAAGCTGAGAGTCAGTTCATGAGAGGAAGGTGATTCCTGGGAGTGATAAAAGCCACAGCAAACTGAGGAGAAAAGACTGTTAGAGATGGATGAGCTTTTGATGCACTGAGGCTCCAAAGGTGTGTGACCTCTAGAGGAGCTTCTCTGTCCCGCTGAGCAAGGATTTCAACACCACACAGTGAGGGCTGACAGATGGAAGAAAATGCAGTGTTCCAACAGGCAGTGGAGGTGCACTGAGAGGAGCAGCAGGAGCCAAAGGACTGAAGACAATGCAATGATCAAATGGAGAGAAAATCTGAAGAAGGTAGTGAGTAACAGGTGTGGAGTGAAGAAACCCCTGTGCAAGCCAAGCCAAGTCTTTTTTATTCTTAATGCTGTGGTCCCACTGAAGGGAAGAAAGCATGGCACAAGCTGACCAGGCTCCCTCTTTTCTCCTTGGAGAATCAGTTTTGAGGTGGCTATGAAACCTCCCCAGAGTTCATTCTTTCTGCCTTCTAAACTTCCTCCTTCTTAAACCCCTTAAGTGCCTTTTTCCCTCCATGCTTTTCACTAAGTTTGTCTCTTCCTCGTTCATCCACGGGAACTGCCTCAATACCAAACAGTGGAACAAACTGGCAATTGTGGCTTTTTTAAACCACTGTCCTCAGATGCCAAAAGCCCTCTGAGTTGACTCACGTGTTTATTTGTTCCTCTGACTCCTCTGCATCACAGGAATATTCAGGTGGCTGGAACTCAGTCTTTCTCACGTGCCCTGAGCCTGCTGGGCTCTTTTCAGTGGGTTCTTCCTCTCCAGTGACTCCTGACGGAGTATATGACAGTATTCTCCACCTTGCTTCACAGAACTGAGATGATGTCTGCCAAAAATCATCACAACTTGGTCAGTGTTCTAATCACACACTATTAAACTGATTGACTTCTCTGTTGCCCACTAACTTAAATTTTAAAGATTTCAAATTCTTCTGTGTTCAAGAGTCCAACATTAGTATTTCCTTCTGCAATATCATAACGAAGGATAATTCCCCAATATGGTCTGTGAGAACTTTCCCTTCTCTCTTTCACTATCATGCAGGTTAATTACCGGGTGTCTTGAACCCAGTAGCACTTTGTCCAGTACTTGGTTTAAAAACTTCCTGCCTAATTCTAATTTATAGCAGCCAACTGTCCACCAGGTCCCTCACTGTGTGAACTCAGCTGTCACAGCCTGACAGGCACTGCCCTGAAGCTGCTGAATTCCACAATTCCAGGAGGCTGCACTGTCAGGAACAAGGAAGGTGCCAGTGCACCTGTGAGTGAGGGGAAGAGAACAGGCAAGGTATTACTGCAAGAGAAGAAAATAAAGAGGAAAGTGCAATGCAATGCCTTCAGGATGAGCACAGAGGTTACAAAAATAACAGCAAAAGCAAAGGTGAGGTAGGGCAGTGAAAAGGGGTATGGCACACAGGTATCCTGCAGCTGCTGATTAAAATGTTAGCAAGAACACAGAAGCTGATCCAAGTCCCAGGAGTGTCCTGTCCCTGTTCCACAGGACACATCCCTTTCTGTTCATGTGCTGCTGACTTTTGAATCAAGGGGCATCAAACTCTATTGATTCTTTCAAACACAACCCAGGCCTCATTTGTTTTACTGGCAAGTAATAACTCCCTTTTCTTACCAGATGTGTTAAAGCACCCAAAGGTCATATAGGGTGCAAATGTCAGGCACCAAATTCACTAGTTCTCAAGGGGAGCAGTTTACTGCCCCCCTCGCTTCTCAAGTACAGAAAAATTAGTATAAAACTGAACATTTAAGAGAAATGCAGCATATGAAAGAGCTGTAATAACTGTCCAATTTAAAGCAAAAAACCACCCATAATTCCATAGAATTCTTTCTGGCATATTTATGAATGACCCTTAAGGTTGATGGACTCTGCAAAAAAACCCAGTAAAATAAATCCAAACTTAAAATACAGAGGTAACCAGCATACTTTTCTGCACTGCAGATTTATAACATGTTGCTGGAATATGACATCAAATATTTCTCCATTTAAATTCTGGCATCACAATACCCTGTTTATACAATAACTTAATAAATTTAGCTGGGCTGCCTATTTGACAAGTAGGCAAGAATCGTTCATTAAAATGCAAATGTAATCAAGATGAAATTTGGAATACGTTTATTAAAGTAATTGAGCTTCAGTCAACTGTAGTCACAACACAGATTTTCAAGTGCCTTTCAGACAAAAGGATATGTCTAATTTTTCCATGTTAATATCTTTATCAGTATGAAAATTAGAAGAGTTTTCTGAGCAGTAATAACGTACCATGAGATACTTCCAAGTTTTCTCTCCAAGAATATATTATTATAGATAAGGGTCAAAGACACACACAGAGCAGTGACCCAGCAGTTCCTGCACATACAGAAAATTGGCTGCAAGTGTATTTTCAGTGCTTGGTGTAACTACGTACTTATTAAATTACTCTTTAAATCCTTTGGAGACTCAAGGTCATCAGTTAATTTTAGTACAAGGCCATTAAAGTGTCAGGGAATCGAACTTTTTACTGCTAAGATTTGGGATTCTTGATGCCTTTCTCTGAGTAAGAAATAAGTCACAGAAATAAAAGAGAATCCTAAATTTGTCCTAGTTATAATTTAGGTGCTAGAAAAACATTAAAAGAAGCTGTGAAAGTAATGCCAGAAACTCTTCCACGAGGGTAAGGACAAGCTAGATATTCACCAGGGTTTTTTACATCATTTTTACTTGTTTAAGTACCCTGGATATGTTTGTCCCAGAAGATCAAATTTTCCAGGTAACAACCTCACATCTCCTGTGTACACGAACAACTTCTTTGGGACTTGGTTGCTGAAGGACTGACATGTGATGCCAAACCCTTTCAGCTGCTCCAAGCCCAGCCTGAGCAGAACTGCCAGGAAGAGGGTGCAGAAGGTTGCACATCCCTTAGCTCTCCCTCACTCAGGGACTGTATTTGATGCAGTGGGGGATTTTATCAGGATGCTTCAGCCCCATTACCTCTTCCTGTTAATCTCCCTCTGCCCACTCCCCGAGGCTGAAGTTGCAGTCCATTTATGCCAGCTTGGTTCTCTCTCTCTAAGTTTGAACATTTGATTATGATCGTGGGGAACAAATATTTTGGGCATTAAATAAAATAATTATGTATCCATCAAGCAACATATACACATAAGATACATATTTCTCTGATCATGGAAACTCTTAGCCACTGTTTCACAAAACGGCTTTCTCTCTGATCATGGAAATGGTTAGCCACTATTTCATAAAAAGCCTTATTCAATTTTCTTACCTTAATGGACACAGCCTTTATATCAACAAACCTAATGACAGAATATCTCCTGCTCTGGACACTGTTCAGAAAGAATTCAGCCTTTTCCAGAGGCTTATAGCCAATTGTAAATACAAATGAAACCCATGTGGCATTGCTCTGAAAGCCACTGAGAGCACGGGCTTTCTAAAGGCCATTTCCTTTATTTTCATAAAAGCATTTCAATGTGTATCCGCAACAACTCCTGGCCAGACAAGTAAATGCTCCTCTTTGGGCACAAGGCCAGATCCTGCTGAGGGTGTTGTGAGGTATCAGCTGGGCACTGCCTGACTTGCTGCAGTAGTGACAGACTTGAATGCAAGTTAAGGCTTCCCAGGTGAAAAACAAGTGCAATTTTACACACACTGCAACTTAAAACATTCCCAGTAAATATTTTCTATAGCAGAAAACCCAATATGACAACCCATTTCCTTATGGAACAGAAAACACAGGAGGCAACAACTTTGAAACTACAGTAAATAGAACCAAACTGTATTCTGAACATTACAGACTAGAACTGTGGATTAGAAAACAGTCCAAGTCTTCTAAATGCATCATTTGCAGCCATATCATCATGAGTGTGATCCTATTACTAATCTCAAATGAAGACCTGAAGATTTCAAAGCAATATCCACTGAAGGAAGCAGGGAGAGCAGGAAGCTTCCTTTCAAATCTGTGTCCTCACCTGGTTTTAGGGAGCACTGTGGGCACTGGAGGGTCTGTCTCTTTGAACACACAATAAGATAGAAGTTCTGACAACCTGAAGAATTCAGGATGTTATGGCAATCTCTGCAGGAGCACAGGTGTTAACCCTGCATTCTCATCAGATTTGAGCTGATTAAATGTTACTGTCCTTGCTGCTGTTTCAGTTGGAATAGGACATTTTTTAAAATTATTTCACTCCCCTAAAATATGTTGTGTGTATCTGCATTAACACACAGCTGACTCCATTTGAGCTGTTGCTGCACTCTAACAGCTGAAGTTATTCTGATCTGTCCCTTAACTTTCTGACAAGGCACTGTAACACTTAAATAGTTAATAATTGTGAAACAGCAGGAAATGCCAAGATAAAAGAAAATCCATATGCACACAGTGCTTTCCTTCTTAACAGAGCACACAGAACAACAGGAAAGCAAACTCTGCATTTCTTGTAACCTGCCCACACTGATACTGATTTATGCAGTGGAGAATCAGATTCACTCTCCTGTCATAAATACTGGAGCTGCTGACCATTTCACTCAGCACATCAGTGCTCTACATTACAAGGTTGAATGGAAATCCATGCCAGCACGTGCCAAATTTATTTACATTAAGACTTCTACATCACCTTTCCTGGTGATGTAAGGCAGTCCTATTGTAAATGAGAATTGGTGTATTGTTCAATTAAAAAATACTCAGTGAGTGATTAGTGGGTGCACACAGCATCCACCTTCTGTAATTCCAGAAAGCCCTAGGGTTGATGTGCTGGTGAGGCTGACCCAGCAAGTCCTAATATTGAGATCCACTTTTGGGCCATACTCTGAAAGCTCAGCACGTGGACAGAGAAAGCTTGTAATTCCTCACAGTTCATATGTAGCTACTAAAGTAAATTAACTATGAATTCTGGTTTGGTAGTGTTTACAGCCAAGCAAGAGATGCCCACACAAGGAATCAGGAGCACAATGGTTACTACTCCTATTCAATGGTTGAATGATTACACAGCAAGAAAAAATGGGTAAATATTCATCCATCTAGTCTTTTTAAAACCAGTGAAGACGAGGTGATAATGACATTAAAATCTCTTCAGTGTAGTTACTAACCCACAGAAACCCAGACATACGTGATCATTTACCATGCTGAACCACTGACAATTCTGGCAAGGAGCTAAAGTAGTACCACATCAACATCTGTCCTGAGTAGATGAAGACACACAAACAATCTGGAATACCCACGCTGTTTCAGATGTTGGTTCCCATTTTATTTTCCTGCAGATGAGTACAGTATTCTGTACTCAAATGTCTGTTTAAAAATCAAAACTGGGATCTGCAAAATAGGAAAAACACATATTATCACAAAATTATTTCGTTATCATGAAAATCTGACCGTGAAATAATCCACAAAACAAGCTCAAGTAAGACATGAGTAAATTTGTGGCACATTTACAGAAGGCTGTGTGGCAAGAAATCAGAATCTTCAATAGTCAAAACACCGCCCACACTATTATAGAAGATGTCACAGGTGAGTGCATTCATGTAGAGCTGCATATTCAAAGTGTCTCAGGGGTCTTCAATTAACTACAAAGACATTAAAACACAGATGCTGCCTTCATTGTGAAATGAGGAATAATCTCTCCTTTGAAAATGAGGAGAGGTTCTCTAACACTGAGAAGCCCAAACACATGTGGCATCTTGGAGGTACAAAAAACCTGTCTCTGGTGAAGCACATACACAGTGGTGAGTGGGTGAAGGACCTCCAGAGCAGCACTGAGAAGACAGCTGTGTACTGAAGAAGGGCAGAAAAAAAAAAACTCTGAGATTTCAAAGCTTTGCTTTAAATTTTTCTCC